ACCGATCTATCGTAAAGCTTAGTCATCGCACTAATCAACAAACAGGGACATCAGACTGAACACCCAGCACTGATCACGTCACTAGTCATAAGGAATCTCACGGATTGGTTCCCTGACTGCCTTAAAACCCAATCAACCTACTTACCACTTGACTTGGCCTGACGAAGCTTTTGTGTCAAAAGCGAAACGTTGCCCAGCAATAAATCCACCGTTTACCAAAGCTCTCTGAAGATTCACTCAAAAACGTTGCCCAGCAATAAATCCACCGTTTACCAAAGCTCTCTGAAGCCCATATTCACTCAACACGTTTGTGTTGAATGCCAACAGTAAGGACTGGAGGTGACCGAAGTGTTGTTCGAAGTATTGTGCCAGATGGCTCAAACGTTCTTCTCTGCTGCACATAAAAGATCTACTTTGGTACCTGATGGTTTCGCTGACAAAGAGCTTCAAATGGCCTATCGAACAAATCAGGTGGAGCAATGTACGTGAGTTCCCAGCATTTTTCGCATCTTCCATTTCTTTGGCCTTTCGGATCCACCAAGCTTTTCGGTTTGCACAGACACGCAGTTTCATGTGACATGGAGTTGAGTTCTTGTGCAAACAGGAGGAATCTGTTGGGCTGTCTCCATCGGTCCTATCAGAGATCAAATGTTTGGATGAAAGCAGCATTTTGAATACCTGATTCCAGTAATCGCCCGTAATCATCCGCAGACCACCCGATAAGCATTCGAGATGCCAGATCTGATAAGTTTGCTTGATTTCTGCACCCACAAGTTTCTCAATGGTTAAGCGAAGTGTGCGCCTTTTCCGTAAACTTGAAAAGCACAATGAAAGGCACCAATGGACAATCACATGGTCGAAGTTTACGCGGCTATTCCAGAAGGAGCGCTAGACAGTGACCGACACCCATCACCGCTAGCTGACGGCGATGTGGCATATTTGGATTCGGGGCTGGTTCATTGGTGGGCACTACGTTTTCAAGTGGTTCTCGCTGTTCCGGAAACCAGTACTGCAAAGGAACCGTCTGTGGTCAGCACACCCTTAGGAGTCTCAGCAGTACGAAGCCAACCTACATGAGTGTTCATTCCGGCAGCAGCCACAACGAAGTCCGAACTTTTAGATCGCATAGAGTAATAGAATCCTTCTTTGATAGATTCATCGCTAATTCCGTCCGTACGTAAGCAAATACGATAAACAAGGAATGACGAATGTCTCTTCTTTTACAGACATTGGGAAAAGAATCGCGCAGAGACCACTATCAACGGATATTCAATCAAGTAAAGACGCTTCCGCTCAGTCACTCAACACGATATCCACCCCGGTATATCCAACTGCAGCTGCCTCCAGGTCACCATAAGTGCACAGCTGGAGGCAGGAAGAGAGCGAGGGGCAGTCAGGCAGTACTTGCGTCCTCGATCCAGAAGGAGAGCAAGAGCGCTTATTATCCAGCAAGACTCAGCGTGCAAACATCAGAGGCAGCTAATTAGACCGGATTTCGGGGCTTGATGTCTGAGTTAGAGGTGTTTAGGGTTGTTACTGAAGACGGTCGCGCAGAAGATGCAACTGAGTGTGATGCAAGACAAACAAGAGGTCAATCCTAGTGCTGGAACCAGAAGGGAGTATTTACATATGGGTGGAGTAGCGTAGAAGATGGAATACGGGAATGTAGGGAAGGCAACAGCAGTAGCACAGTTTTGCTTGTCCACCCAGTTGTATGCAGCAAGTAGGGCGATTCGGATGATGACACCACGCGACAGCCAATGTGAGTGACCATATTCTTGGTTGTGCCCAGAGTAAGATCAATAAGACGAAAAAATTTGAGGGCCATCGACTTCTCCACTATGGGATTTTGCGCCAGCTTCATTGCGCTTGTTGAAATGATCAGTCATCAGTGGACCTCCCAAAATATAACTTGAGTGGCTAGTTTCCCAACGCCACAATGTTGGGGAATCCACACAACTTCCTGGTCATTAATTGGTTACATATATGGTCGAATGGGATGCAGGTTGGCCGTTGATTTCAAGAAACGGCCAAGATTTCTGATTACGAAAGGCGCGGTTTCTATTACGCACGAATGTCGTGTGCACACGGGATGGCCTACTTTCTGTACAAACGGTCCACCTATACGGGATCATGATGAAGTAAACAATTCCTTTAATTGAATAGCCATTAACTAAAGGTTGCGGCCACTTTGTATTCTAAGTAAAGTCGCCAACACAGCAATGGCCTTGGTGAACTAACCACACGAAGCATCCAATGCAAGCGATGGTTTCGTTTTTCACGATTCCGGCCAAAAAATCACTTCTTGTGATGACCGATTGCGACACCTACTGCGATCCGCTTTCGAAAATTAAGCGCTCAGCGTGCAGTCAATACTGCTGAATGCGATTTACTTACGCTTACCCCGTAAGGACAAAAATTTGAGGTTTTTCAGGTGTAATACTGCTCACACGGTTGCTGCGAACCTGTGACAGCCCCTCTTGGGGGTCATCAAGTAGGCGCAATCTCAATCACACTTGTGTTGAACTTGAACCCAAATTGCGCAGATTGAGCGTTCATATCATCCACCAGGAACATTATATCCGTCCTCCTTGCTGACTGAAACAGCCGCGACAGATTTGGATAAAACCTATCTTCCTCAGTTTCGGAACTAAAATCTGTAGGGACGTACGGTGACACGAAAAATAAGCACGGTTTATCGCATCAACCTGCATTGACATCACTTGCACCAGACAACCGTACAGGGCAAACACGACTGTTTACCATAATCCAGTCCAGCAAAGTGTTTCCAGTCCTGGGGCCGAGTGCAGCTCCCACATAGATACCACAGGATCATCAGAAACCGGAAGAATAGAACGAGAAAGAGTTCATATCTAGCAGCTTGAGGTGTATGATCGAAATGGGGTCTTGTATGCGTGTTTCGAAGACACAACGTACATCGACAAAAAGGGGAGCGAGGTTTTGGCACGAGATGCCTTTTGCTCATTTTGACATATTATGGACATTAAAGGCCACAAATCGGATCAGACCTCTTAGTAAGGGGTCACCTCAATTTATTTTTCTGGAGGATAGTTTAGACAGGGACAATGGTTAGCAAAGTGTTTCCAGTCCTGGGGCCGAGTGCAGCTCCCACATAGATACCACAGGATCATCAGAAACCGGAAGAATAGAACGAGAAAGAGTTCATATCTAGCAGCTTGAGGTGTATGATCGAAATGGGGTCTTGTATGCGTGTTTCGAAGACACAGCGTACATCGATAAAAAGGGGAGCGAGGTTTTGGCACAAGATGCCTTTTGCTCATTTTGACATATTATGGACATTAAAGGCCACAAATCGGATCAGACCTCTTAGTAAGGGGTCACCTCAATTTATTTTTCTGGAGGATAGTTTAGACAGGGAACAATGGTTAGGGGACTGACAGATGGATTGGACGCAGTGCATAATTTGATGGGTGAGGGGATGTGAGTAGGGCCCGGTGAACGAGGAGCTGCAAGTGAATGACACCTTCCACTTATTCAAGCCGAGGAAGGGGGTTTGTTTGACGTACCACAGCTTAAGTCCTTGACTTAAACGTCCGACCAACAAAGTAGTGGGTGGTAGGGTTTTCTTTGGAACCCTGCCGGGAGGCAATTATCCAGTAGGCTAACGGCCTTGGCTGTGGGTGGCTGGCCTAACCCGAGGGCGCGGGGAGTGAGGCATACATGCCTCACTCATGATGCTACTGCGCATAAGAAATGCGTTCGGAGCCAAATAAGGTTCTTGGTAGGCTACTGTTGTATTTCGAACGTACTGGATAATCAGCTGGTAGTCACAGTGAACCGTTGGACGATCGGAGTGTGCAGTTTTTAGGATGGACCTTTTCTAACAAGCCCTTCGTCGAGTGGCAGCTTTTAGTCGATAAGAATTCTAATGGCGAAAGCAAGTTTCTTCGCTCTTAGAGACTGCATACGGTTTTCCTAGGACAGCTTTTTCATAAAAGTAGTTGTGAAAAACTAGCCACCTCAGCGAACAATAACTCGACACTGCGGCACAACGCTGCTCGGTTGACCAACTACGGCGCTGCCATTTGAATAAAGCGTTATCGATGTAGATTGTTGCTTAAGTCAAAATTTTCACAAACTAGATACAGTTCGAAATTGTCTATTCGCACCACCCAAAAACAGATTCCAAGCCTGAAAGTGGAGAAAACACAATCTTCAGGAGCATCAAGATGTAAGATAAATTTTCCAGCCAAAATACAACGGCTGAGGAGAGACTTGTGAGAGAGCTGGGTTCAAATCCCACTCACATTAGACAAGCATTGCAAAAAAGTCAATTTACTACCTAACCAAAAGCAGTAAGAAATGGAAAGGCCCAAGTTGGTGTTGAAATAGAATCAAAATAGTATCGGTATATCCAAAACTTCTGCATACAAAAAGAAGCACAAAAACAGTAGAGTGGCCAAAGGGTACCTGAGCGAACTAGGTCACAAAGACTTAGATAAATAACGGTAGACTACGGAGAAATCTTGATCAGCGAATCCATACTGACACATATTCTGGTAGATTTGATGAGCTAAAGAACCAAGAGGAGTCGGACATTGTGTTGCAGTGCTTGCACTTTGTGCCAGTCCAAGATCCTGAGGAAAAATGACAAGGACGGAAGGCCACTGACAACCCATCACTTGTGGAAAAAGATTAACGATTTGCATTACATCAAAAGACCGGAACATCAGTGACCATCACTCCCGTTAATTCTCAGAGAGATAAATGGTGTGAAGTTAATGCTCAAATACTAGCAGTTTAATCATGGCTGAATCACATCCAATGCGACATGACGAACAGCGTGAGTGCTCATTTGCTTTTACTGACACAATCCCTTGAAGCGATGAGCAGTCAAACACTGAAAGAACGCAAGTTAGGCTTCTGACCTGGACTGCAATTTCGAGTGGGCTGTACTACGAGTCCACAATCTTGGAGGGCACAATGCTCATTTGACTGTTCGTATATTTCAAAGTACTTCTAAAAGCATCACCATGTAGATTATACAAAAGATATAAGGATAGCCTGAGGCATCGGCCTGAGAAGCAACTGGGATGTCACCGAGTTTCTGGGTAGGGTTTCTAAATGACGAGAATCGGTGTACTTACGGGACAGTTGTCGTCTTCACGCCCCACCACACATCCGATTCTCACATAGATCAAGTAGTCTTCTGAATGGCAAATCAGTCACATCTCAGAGAATCACTTCGACAGGCGGGAAAACCGCGATAAACGTGGTCACAGTCCGTGGATGTTTAGCGATACCAAACCACATGTATGCAGATTTGAATGTCAATGGCAAGGATTTCAAATTTTTCCAACGCCTCTTCACGTTCCCCACACTGAGTAGTGAACTGGCGAATCGCGTTTGAAGAAGACACAGGTTTATATGAGAGTCAAACCGTGAAGAACCTCCAACAGTTTGTTAGTGTCCGCTGCTCCTAGGCGATATTCACTTCAATCCGACAAGCTTAAACGCAAAAGCTGGTTGTCATTTGAAATGATAAAAGCTCCATACTCACAAATTTATCCAAGCATCATCGGTATTTCAAACTCCCTCCCAGGGCCTGTGGGTAAATTCAACTGTCAACACGTATCCTAAGGTTGAGTCAGATTAGATTCTGAAAGATGATGGGAACGTCATACACAAAAACTTTTGATTACGTTGTTTCGCTGTAACCTTGGACTAGCACTCTTCTGAAGCTTGAAGAAACATTATTTACGCGGTCTTCAAAAAGCTACAGTATGCTGAGCATAGGTAGCCTCAAGGTTCTACATCGTAGATGCAGTACGCTCTCATTCATCCCTAATAACTTGATACCCACTTTATATACATATCCGTGAATTTCGGACCTCAAGCGACTGGCAGCTTATCTTCTAGAAGACGGGAAGCGAACCGTTTTGAAAAAAATCCTATTGCCCATGACCCTTTTAAACGGATCTGCGCATATTTTAGGTGTAGCTATACAAGTCGAACAGGCACGGAATAAGCTCTGTCTTTGGGAGTCACGACTTGAATCCGCTATTACACTTGTCTGCTCAAATGTGGGAAACACTGAATAAGGGGCGAGAATTTGTGGAATCTGAAAATCACCTCTCAGCAACGGAGATATGATTCAATCAACCCTGTTGGACGACGAAAGGGTGCCAGTTAACGGGAAGAATAAAACAAAAGACGCAAAAACTAAAAATGGACACTGAAGCCAAAATAATCCAGGTTTGCTTACCTTTGTCATCAGCCGAGTACTGAAGCCACCGGAGTAACCTCTGGAAGCGGGTGAATTTGGAAGTACACCAGGGACTGGATTGTACACTTCCGAACTCCAGCATCGCCCACTACTGGCATTGATGACTTCGGTTAGCATCTCAGGACGAAGGCCTAAACGTCGACCTAGTTCCATTGCTTCGCTCACACCGACCATAGAGATGGCCAGCAACATGTTATTGCAGATCTTTGCAGCCTGGAAGCGAGAGAAAATACGCAGACTTGTATAGTACAACTGTTCCTAGAACCAGGCATATTTGCTTCAAACCCGTAACTTTAAACGAATGTCGTTTCGAAATTTGCTGCGAAGTAAACCAGTTGTTATTGACTTGGGAGCAAAAATGATCCAGCAGCGAGGCTAAATTGTTGTAAAGCTCGATAATTAAACCAAACGCTAGTTATTAATCAGTCGTGATCAGCCAGCCGTAAAGCTGGAGAGCGATGACGGAGAATAAAAATAGTAATAATGGTTCAACTGAAGCACCCTTTCGGTGCCTAGGTACCAAGCCACCTGAAGGGAAAACGAAGATCGAGATACTGCAAGATTACTTAAGCCTAGATGATGGCAGTCGAGATGCAAAGGTCGGGTTCGAACCATGGACATTCCGGTCAGTAAGTTCGCAAAGTAACCTGACGTCTCCATCAGAACTCGACAAGGAATAGAATGACCTACAAGTCAAGAAATACGTTGAGGTTTTGAACTACGGAAGCCAGGTTGAACTGCAGGTCCTTCAACCAGGAATTGCAGATACTGGTCAACATGAGATCCAACTAACTTGTACTCCTCAGTAATTTTGTTTTGCCATCGATGCGTATAGCTTACTCTTTTTCCAACAAACAACCGCCAGCTACGTGATGTGGTCGAGCTTATGTATTATGGTGATCTCAAGAGCTATCCACAACGAAAATCCTGTGTTGGTAGTGTTAGGAGATTTCGGAATTATAATAGGAATTTCGTCTCTTAAGTGAAGAGTCTATGCTGAAAAGCCGAGAAGCAGTGTACAGGTGTTTCATCCTTAGTGGGAATCATCAGTAGTGCGCGTATCAGGGAACTCCAGACAGTTTTATGTTTTAAATACAGCCCCATCTGAAAACTTGGAGAAGACAGTCATACAATGTGTGACGAGTCCCATATCGTGAAACAAAGATTTACTAGACAGTCTATAGGTTTACTTACTGCTACCTGCGGTAGAAATGGGAAAGTACCGTATGACGTCCACGTGATCGGAATTTTCATATTTATGATAACAAGGATACTGCCAAGGAAAGGCTGACGGAGACCAATCCTAAAACCACAATCAAACACGCCACCACGCAGAACGGTTGATTATTTTGAATGCTACATTTGTATAAAATGAAATGGCCGGTTTTTTTATCAACGGTAGCAGTAACGTAACTTATTTATCTTGCTTCTCCTTCACTCGAGGTGGGTGGCTGGATCAGATTTTGGAGTTTTCGGTTGCGTGTAAAGTCCAGTAAGAAAATCCTAGCACATCCTGACTGGTAGATCTAATTGTTGAGCCAACGGCTAAGGGTGAGGGCCCATCACTCTAAACTCGCCAAGAGCTGGAACGGAAAATGGTAGCATGAAAGGCGAGGAACTCTTATTTGACAGAGGATACCCCCTAAACGGACAGTAATGGTTGTTCATCATGTCCCCCCACCGTCCGCAATTCTAGAACGACCCGTTCGGCGGAGTACAGTAATCTCACATGAATTGTTCCCAAGAATGCAAGATATCAAGGGGCAAATAACTTACCAAACCCGCCCCAACAGGCCCACAATGAAATATGCGTTTACCCATGCATTCGAGGAAAGGTTTAGCGCGCGAACAGGCCTCCTCGGATCCTCCAACCATGAACGTCAGAGTGGCTTGTTCTGCAGAAGGGACTCCTATCAGAAAAAAGAGGGAACGAATCCGAAAATCTGATAACTAGGTGCTTTTATAATAGGTGAAAAATAGTGTATTGCCTTGACCTACGCTGGATCAAGATGTGGTCCACTTGAGCTAACAGTTCTATAGGGAATGGAGGATGAACTTCAATGAAAGCATGGAAATGGCTAAAAAACGGAGTCGAAAGCACACTAGATAAGTAAGGAAGAATCACCGCACCACAGATTCTTGAAAGGCATTCACATAACAGAATAGACGCCACCAGACCTTATGCGTTATTGATGGCCACATTACACTGGGGATCGAACTGGGGGAAGATGGAAGAAATCAAACGGCATCCATTCAGAGCACAGGCACTAGCTTTCGGTTGGATCACGATGCATACAAAAGTTGGGTAAGGGATCACTCTGTTCAACTAGGTGTGCGAAGTTACGTACGCGGAACTAGCCTCAATGGTGCTGGTTTGTGCGTTAGGAGTGAAGATACTCCTTGGAATACATAGTAAGCTTGGCGGCGAGTTGCTTCCACGATGTATCTAAAGCTCGTGCACTCGAATGAGTCCGGTGATAAGGTGACAACATCAATGGAAACCGATGCAAACTACGTGGGTATGAAAACTCATTTTACACTTCACTTACATCACATATCACGAACTGGGAACCCTAGAAAAACGGTAACTTCTGAATTGCGTACTTGCCCACTTTTGGGAACGTGTGTTTGAACAGACAAGGACTGACCTCCTGACACCGGGGCGTCAATATACGAGCACTGCTTAGTCCACACGTATTTGGCTACTTCCTTGGCTACGTGCGGATCTCCCGTTGTGCAGTCGATGAACGAAGTGCCTGGTTTGGCGAGGGCAACCATGCCTAAGACGGCTTCACTTCCATAGGTCTGAAAACAGTAACAAAAAAGACAAGTGCCGCTTCATAAAGTCTAGTAACCGGTGCCAAAATAGGAAAATTCTTAGTTGTACCTAGACTGTATTGCACCATGCCGTCGAATTGAATATATGCGAACACTGTGGCTAAGGCGAAACCAAGTGCGCTGAGTTTTGACGCAACAGAACTGGGGTAACATGCAGTTCATTGCGTGTTACTCATGCGATGAACCACTCAGTAATGTCTACGAGCCTTTAGGACTAATAGGAAAGAGCTTCAACATCTCTAATGGCACAGAAAAGAAACCACACATAGCCAACGAATGAAATATGGTACAACTGCCAGAAAGAAGACGATGTCCTGTATTCGAAAAATCCAGTCTGGCCCCCTAGAACTACCAAGGATTCCTATACGATGATGCAACAGAAATCACATCAATAAAATTATATTTACAGAGAGTCAGTTTTACTTCTACATCCTTGCTCTGTGATCACACCTGAGTTGCCTGTTGCGTCCGGGAGCCGATGGAGGAAATGATTTATAGCAGCTGGCAATAAACGGTGAAAGGTTGCAAGAAGAGAAGAAGCAGGTCGTCAAAAAACGCCATGAGTGTAAGCACAGTATTGATAACCGGTGAATGAAAGCTGCAACGGAGAAATTTAGACAGGCACCACCGAGCTCCGGGCGTTTTCAGAAGCTCAACGGAAGTTGCAATCTGGTAAACCGTATATCGGTCTACTGAATCACCATATGCTATCTTGCATTAGCCGTGCAAAGAACACGGCTGCCAGACACAACAGTCAGGCGGTTCTAGAGATAGAACAAGTGTTAACACTTACAAAATGAAAATGCACCTAGCTGAGGAAGACCAGGGAGGCCAACTAACAATCAAGCACGACACAATGATCAAGAACAACGAAGTAACATTCACAGACTGTTCCCAACTGAATGAACCAAATGAACAGGCATCCATTAGTCACCGAGGGGTCCAGTGATTTTAGTCAAGTTAACTCTGTCAAATCAGACAAAGAATCATACACCAGTGTAGCGGTGGATACCAATGATGAGGCATGCGAGTAGCGTTTTCTCGTAAATCCGCTTCGTGACTATTGAAAAGTGAGATCTATTACGGAATTAGTGGAGTAGCTTTGTAGCATGAACTCGCATTTGAGTAACAGTCAACGAATATCTAGGAAAGTTCAGGAAGACGCGTTCAAGGAGAAGATGGATATTCAGTTTTGTAAACAAGATGCATATGAGAGCTTTGCTCCCCTGTCCAATGGTCTGTAACTGTTCAGTTGGTGTTTCCCTAACAAACAACTCCGCAGCGAAGGCCTTCTTCCCTTCACCAGGTCATGTGGTGGAATCAATTGAGAATAATATATATCCACTACCTAATTCACGGACAAAACACTAAGTGGCTTGGGAATATTCCGGAATATTGGCAATTCGGGTGCGTTTACTGGCGGTTGATCAAGTGGCTGTTGATCCATCCGCCGAGCATGACAGTTAGCCTGAAAACACTTCATCACTAGCCGTCCTAAAATTTGTTACCTGTTCCTTATACAGTTTGCCAATCAGCCACCGTATGCAAACTGATGCACTCTGTGCGCGCGACTTAAACTAATCCGTGAGCAAGAGCCATAAGAGCAACAGTGATCAAGATGGCCAATCTTAGCTTTTGCCTATGGAGTAATTCCGCCGAATGACCTGAAAATATTCTGCATCAAAACATGCCCATATGCGACAGCATGCTAGGGGATCTGTAACAGTTTACCACAGTTTTACGCAGGAAACCAACAGACAAGTCTAGTAAATCAAATGAAAAGAACTTTCACTCCGTGTACATGCGAGTTGACATAACTTGGAGTAGTCATATAACGTAGCAGGATACTAGTGTGGTGAGTGAATGGAGAACAATGTAAATGGAGGTGCCTGCTTGACTTACAGACCGCATACACTGAACAGCTTTTACCAGAAAATAAACGATATTAGACCGAAAGGGACTAAGTGGAGCCTGTCTGAGAGGAGTTGACGAGCGTGCTTCCAAAATCCCGCATGATACCAAACGAAAGCTAAAGCTGTCGTCTGTCATGAACATATCTCTGTCAAGAAATTATCCCATGTGCCAAAAATCATGTGTTATTGCTCGAGTAAGAATATGATGGACAACGATACTCAAAAAGCATCATACAGCGCCCGATCAACCTAAGATGGAGCTCATGTTTTGAGAATGTACACAACAACAGTATACGGTTCTTCCCACAACAAACAGTGAATATAATCAAGATAAACCATTTGCCACTGCTGTAATCTAGCATCCCTTAGACGATGACTGCTAATTTAATCTTCTAAGATGTTCTGAACATGTAAATATATTTGATATATAAATAGCAAAAAACTCCACCTTAGTATACCCGTAAAAGAGATGTTGGAAATGAATGAGCCCGTACAATAACTCTGCAATGATCGGTAAGCGGGTTTTTTGTTTTGGTTGTGGAAATTAGTTTGACATACACAGGTTGTGGATTCATGGGTTCCAAACACACAGCAAGCTATTTCCACGATTCCCTTTGCCAGTTATTGGTTTAATTTAATCATAGGTATCTCTCTCTTGTCAGTTCCCTTTCAATTCCCAATAAACAAAAAAGAAATGCTTGATCTGAACAATGTGAGCTTCACGAAAGATATCCATCATTTCACGCTACTCTCACATTTGTATTGTCTTTTAGCCCGTATACCTTCGTATTCGGTCACGCGACGCGCGTTAGGGGAACCGACCATCCCTCTATTCCTGCTTATTTGCTAAATGATTGGAGTCATTGGTCACAGCTACAACAGCGATGACCGGGTAAGAGGTTGAATGTGTGAAAGCTATCGAACAGAAGGGGGTTGATACCAAAGTGCAACTATAACTGTGACAAAACGCGTTAACAGGGGAGCTTGGGATGTTGAGAGAAAGTCCACTGGGGTGACGGGTATCGAAAGACGATAGTGTACGGAGAAACAGTACTGGGAAACTTTTATGTAAGTACATGCAAGGCGAAAGTATGACGCTGCAGTGAGTGACTGTATAACGAATAGGCTGCAGTACGTTTGCCCCGAATGGGACTGCACCTGAGATCTGCATCTCACACAGTGCCTGTGTAGTAAGATGAAGCCTTATTTAATTTCGTATGGTGGCAAAGTCCCAACAAGTCACGGGTCCAGAAATGCTCCTGTACAACTTAAGAAGCATTGAACGGATCAGCTGGTTATTCCGAACCGGATAGATAAAAATAAACAAGCAGAATCATTGTACCCTCAGTCGCCACCAGACTTTTTCGATCAACCCTAAGGCAATTAATTCCAGTTAGAATTTACGCTGAGAATTTCCACCGCCGCAGTGCCCCGACGAAGACCTTTATGACTGATGGAGAGATTCGAAAGGTGCTGCTTCCGAGGATATATAGGACAATGCAACAAAGTTATAGGTATACTTACTTGTGTCACATGTGGGCTTGAAGGAAGCATGGTGATTATAGTCTGAGGAGCATTGGGAGTCATCAGTTCTTCCAGTGAAGCCCGGGTTGTAATCCGACTAGCAAGATCTGGGGTAGCTGTGCATGGCAACAAGGACGTGATACATTAATTGGGATTCAATTAAGGACAAGATGGAAAAGGATGAACCGGAAAACACACCTTGTTTTCGGAATTCGTTCGTCTGGGTGTTCGCTATGTCATATACATGTATATTATAACCAGCCTTGGCCAAGTTGAGCGCCATACGACTGCCCATTTGTCCCAATCCGATGAAACCAACCGTTTTATCCGTAGACTAGACAAAAGTGGAAAGAATTATAGCCAGATCGACCATACAACTAAGCGTCGATAAACAATTATCTACTACAACTCTCTTATGACAGCTTTCAGTTGTAAATACTACATTCAGTTTATTACAACCCCCTGAAGAAGATAAAACTTTGAAAACAGACTCGAATCGTTGTTCTGTTGGAGACATTCATTTCACCCCGAACTTCAAATGATTTTCCTGTCCAACTGCAGGCGACAAAAAAAACGGAGGGAAAGCGGCCACTATGTCACTGCTCAACTCACGGTAACAGAATGATTTAGAGTACTGTGTTTGAGAAAGCAAGCTTGATCACGATCGTTTTCAGTCAGGTCTAATCGGACTAACATGGTGGAAATAATCGAAAATTGGGGTGGAATACTACGACACATTGCCCGTGCAAAAAAAGGGAACGCTATCTAACCAGCGTTCGGGGTATGTGATCGATGGGTCAGAGTAATATCAAAGCCTTCAAGCATCTGCTTTTTTGTCAAAAAGGTGCACATCACAATGATCACCTCAGCCGTTGGAAAACGGCCTCTGGCTGATTTTGTGGTACTCGATGGACCATGCTGACTTGTGAATTGTGTAGCTTTGGGAGCCCATGCATACGAAGGAAGGTCGGTTTAGGCCAATGATACCGCAATTTTGTAGTTATTTTTAAGGCGCTCTAAATGTCTGGTTATTCGTGCCAATACCTTTATCGCAATATTCTTTGTCCTGGTTTTACAGGACTCAGATGTGTATAGAAGCTACTCGAACAGCCTATCAATACTAACATTTCGCTAAAATAGGCATTAAAGCCAGTTTTAATGAAACTTGACAGACGATATCTAAACCGAATGACAAACTGAACTACCTTAAGACAGTTATTGTACGTGTACTACCAGCCAGAAAGTCCCGATTATACTTAAACACATAGAAGCTTTGTGAAGAGATAGAAAGGATACTATTTTTGCGGTCCACATGGGGCCCCAATACAAACAATATTAAATAACCTAAATAATGCTGCATCATGGGATGCGCGTGTACTACCAGCCAGAAAGTCCCGATTATACTTAAACACATAGAAGCTTTGTGAAGAGATAGAAAGGATACTATTTTTGCGGTCCACATGGGGCCCCAATACAAACAATATTAAATAACCTAAATAATGCTGCATCATTCTTGGGATGCGCTCCACACCTGCAAAGTGAAAAGTGCTGCTGCAAGAACTAGTGGGCCCCGACCCTAACCTCATGTTCACGAATGAGTCAATTGAGGTTGTCGAAAAATTTGTCTACCTGGTGGTCTAGCCAAAGACGATATTCCCATCCGGATCGGGAAGGTGAGAACAGCTTTCGTGAAGCTGCATCACCTGTAGCTTAAGCGTGGTATGAACGTGTGTCAAGGGGTCGAGTATACAATGCTGTGGTGCGCTCCATATTGTTATACGACGCACACGAAGGACATCAGAAGACGCTCAGTGCCTGACCATCAATTTCTGAAAAGAGTTGCCCGAGTCTACTGGGAACACGAGAACAGTACGAAGTACGTCGAATGGTTTTCGGAAAGAATAACTCGCCCACGATGGATGAATTGATCACACGCCATAGGTTGCGCTGGCTCATTCACATGTTGTGTATGTCACGTGACCAGCAAGCTCAGTTGCGATGGTCATTGCCGCCTCCCTAGTTGGAGACATTACCAGATATGGCCCAGTCGGGCATGTATCCAAGCCGTCACATAGCTTCCCCTTCAGACCTATCTAATGAAAACTCCACTGGCATGACTGTTTTTATACCGCCTCCACTGCATAACAGCTTACCTCCTCCCCAAATAATCGACAAACGAAACTGTGGCAGTCAAAACCACTGTATGGCAATTACGCGGTTTATACAGCTGAAGACGATGGATGACAATGAAAATACCAGATGAACAGACCGCTCGGAAGTTTCAATGTGTTTATCTTGTCAGTATTGGGAGATTCATTATCAGTTACAACACATTCCGACGGCGATGGAAAAGCTTGTCCATGATTGTCACCAATTTAGTGTCAGAAGTGTTGGTAACTGAAAACAGTACTCAATTCACTCCACCAGAATTCGTAGACCTCTGCACTTCGCAGGGAACACGGCACACTAGAAAGCCCAGTATCATCCGCAATCTACGGCTTAGGGAGAACGCTCAAACATGCACTCCTTAAGCACCAAAACCATGGTACGATCGCACAATGTATGGACAGGTTTTTTCAGATGTACAACTGTCTTTAACACCCAATAATAACGGATCGTTCAGTTGTAACACCATTTCGGTGTCTAAACGCCACCAAAAGGGCTGGGATACTGCTAGGTTGCTAAAGCCTAGAGAGAAGTCAATATGCAGAGGTTGGGTCCAAACCACGGACCTGCCGGTCAGTAAATTTGCGCTCTTAACCACTGAGCCATCTCTCTCTCTTATAACAGGTAATGGTGTACTAGAATGGATTGTCTCCTAACGAACGTCTTCTCGGTCAAACAATGCGTCTGCCCTAGGAGATAAGGTTACCAAGGCAAAAAAAGCATCGTACGAGATTTCTTTAGGGAAGCTACATCCAAGCGACATTGTAACTCAGCCATGGGAGCTTGGTCCGGAAGATTACATATACACGGAAAAATCTCGAAGTCGCTTTAACCACTGGATGCTTTTATGCGTGCTTTACAGCGTTGACAAAGTCATCTAAAAAGTCACTGGGAGTGAGTACATACGGACCAAAGACAATGGACACGTACGACGTCGTTAGGATATGGCTCCAAGTTTTGAAGTGCGATATCTCGTTGACCCAGATGTCCTTGTAGATGACCGAGCAGGTGCTACACACACTACGGCCGAGAATCGCCAGCCTGCAAAGTTCAGTGATAGACAAACTGTTTTAACACAAATCTGTCACTCAGCTGGTGCCATTTCGCACACACCATAACACTGATTAAAAGATTTGTAACTGACACAGTAGAGCATCCACATGATGTGCAGTGTTACAGTTTTTATTGTTTCTTTTCAAAGTAGACGTTCGGCAGCTTGATCTTGGGCATATAGATAGCTCAGCAGTTAAGGTGCCAGCTAGTGGACCGGAAGACCCGTGGTTCGAAGCCAACCTCAACATCTCAACCGCTACCTTCTAGGCTTGGAAAACCCGGCAGTATCGCAGCCCTCGTACATCCTTCCGTTGGCATGGGAGCTAGGTACCGCAAAAGTGCTACAAATAAAAGATTTAACAGGGTTTTGAGCAGACGCCAAAATAAGGGACAATACATTTAACAGTTTTATCCTAGGCATGCATGTTTAGACAGGTGATCCGATTGATTTATCATTTCGGGCTTATTGAATAACCAACACACCGCCTACTGACCTGCTGTGTGTTCGGTTATCTAATTGGCTACAGTGTACTTTTAGCTTGAAAGATAATTTTGAATCTGTGAGCATGTCACGTGACTTTCAACTGAACTACAGCATCACAGGTTTTTCCGATGTTACTACAATGCTTACAAGTGGAAAAGACCGAATTAATTTGTTGTCATATGTAAATCCACAAGGAATATTGGTACCCTAGGTTCCGACTCAAATAAACTGCTGTTAAGATGCACAAGAAGTGTGTAATTCCTGTTCAAAAATGGACTGCATAGACAAAATGACGGCATAGAAACGGGCTATTTGATTTTTTGCTGGCAAGTTACTGTCTAAACTAAAGGGAACCGTCAAGCAAATACGGCTGTATCGACGCATTTATGTGTTACATGCATGTATTCATGATACTTGAAAGAACCGATGGTGCCAGAAGCACTAAAAACCCTAACCACGCTCATTTAGTAACCTTCATCCGTGAAGGACTAATGGATTATTTCACCCTGAATATCGTAAGAAACCTAACGGTGGAATTCAAAAGTGTGCCTATAAGAGGGCGAATTGGATTTGGAAAAGAAGCGAAACCTGGTCAACTTCTTAGTACGGTGAGTCAAAAAATCACCCCTGGATGGGGCACTGAAAGGCATAAGGAAGACTGAAAGGAAATGAGTTTCCAAAAAGTCTCACCGGAGACACAGGAAGCAGGAAAACCTATACAAACCAGTGACCTCGGCCGTGCCCAAGAAACGACTAGATATCCAACTACCATTCAAGGGCAATATCACATTTGAGGTCATCGACTGAATGAATCAGTTAGCAGAACCATAAACGTATCAAATTCCAGTTTTTCCACAAATATGCTCCAGATAAGACGCGATCAAAAAGATGGCTTGCCAGTCCACCACTAATCCGCTGTGATCTACTTAGTCCCTAGCGATAGCTGGTTAAGCTATACTGGTCGTACGACTCGACTAATTATCTCAGCAGATTAAGGAACATTGCCGGGCTTCTGTGTAAACAGACGCAAAGAAAACCATCGACAATGCTAGAAACGTCAGCTGAGCAACTGTTTGAGGTAGATTACGATGTTCTCAAAAACTCCAAGGTCTTACAACAGCGCTCATTCGTCACATTCAAACCCCGTTAGTCTGCACTTTGTTTAACAAGGAGCCCTGCACAAGCCATTGGAGAAGACCACCACGCTCTTTTAATAGCCTAACCAAAACTAACCTCAATACCCTTACGGTTTTTAACTCGCACATTCGCTAGGGATTCAAATCAGACAAATGTACTATAAACTTACCAGTGCAAAAAAAACTCAGTTTTAATACAAATTCCATCATATACCCATCTGTTTGCTGTTCTGCAGACCGTTCGGATAAGAAAACTTGACATTTGCCTCAGAATTAAAGCGCATCTACCGGCTTACAACAGGAAAATGGCACTAAACAGAGTACCGAATCATTCAACCAGCATTCAAAAACAGTCAAAGGCTTTTTGCCAATTATTGCTCGATACACCTGAAGTGATCGCCAATCAGACACGTGCCTCCTCCTTCCTAACAAAGGACACTACTCTGGCCCACCAGTAACAAACATTTCCCGAACACTCATTAGGTGTACCTGCCATTGTACAATGAAAATAATATTATAATGAAGCCGCTGATGATCAATGGGTTTGTTTCACACAGGTAATGAGATCTGTATTAAAGTTCTGATACTGCAGATTATAAATTCAAGTAAATGGTGAAAACTGCGGAATAACTACTAAATATTCCGTCAGTTGGTGAACTGAAAAACCCCGCACATATTCATCTCGGGTCTCACTGCCATGTAGTAGAAATCGAACCAGTCTTTTACATCCATGTCAGCGTATGTTTCGGGAACCTGATCGATGAAAGCTTGTCCGATTTTCACACTTTCATCTATCATAGAACATTTGTTTGCATGCGGCAGATTGGTCACTGATACAACAATCTTTTTAGAATGATGGTAGCTCAGGTAGCGTACACGACCGTTTGTTTGTTCGCTTAGCTGACCAATTTAATTGCAAACGTTGTGCGGCGAAACTGCTGACTCATTGCTGCGTTCCACCACGCTCCCTAACAACGTTTTGGTGATGTCATTTCGATTGGTCATAAGACGTTTGCAATCGCATTGCCCAGCTCATCGATCAAACCAACGACCATCAATAACCATTCAGCCGTAACACCCTTTCGGTGCCTTGTTATCACACCAGCCGAGGGAAGCACGAGGTTGCCCACACCTAGACAGGAGCAGTCGAGGTGCAGAGTTAGGGTTGGAATCACGGGCTCTCCGGTGAATAAGTTCGCGCCTTAAGCGCTGAGTTACCTCAAGCTCAGCCTTTGATACAAGAGTAATATAGTCCATACACTTAAAATATGAATAATCACACTCGAATTGTGTGGTATTTAGTGAACCCATTGTTTGGATTCTTCCACAGCCTTCCCTCTAGTAACAAGTCTGTGGTTATTACCTTTGAAAGCGTGAAATTTCGCGTAGGTAAACTCACTATTTCCCCACCGTGCAAAGGTATGTTTTCAGGGCAGTTAGGAATGGTCAGCATGCGTGGAGATACTTGAGGTCAAACGAACGGGTTGCGTCAGTAGTTCAGTTAGCATGCTGTCAGAACTATATAGGAGACAATGATTATCGAGGGTTTTCACCGACAGGGAAAGAGATGGAAAACAGCCACCACCAAAGCAGGCCCTGATTCAGTGTACTACAACTAACTTAGGTCCCTTGCCGAAGAAAACTCGCAGCTTCTAAACAATGATAATGCCGAATATGATGTGGGTAGAGCCTTCAGGAAACAGGTCTGAAGTGGACGCGCGACCATAGTGAAAGTGATCAGATAAGTGGTAGACAGTGAATGAATGTTAGCCGGGAAATACTGCCACGTGATAGGAAATAATGGTTGAGTAGCGTCTCAGCCATTTTTAAAGGTGGAGAGTGACTACTGTTTCACAAACAGGAAAACTACTACAAGGAAATTTGCTTACCACATTTCTGAGCTTGACAGATACTCTGATAGACCATGCGACGGATGTGGTCCTTTGCACGCTTCTACCGATGGAAAACATTACGCTGAGCTCCTTTACAGCAGTTATGTGAATAGTAACTGCAATTAGGTTTCTAGAAAACCTACAATAAAACAAAAGCTGGTTGATAGGATATTACTGATGAGAATAAATCCCCATACACTGAGACACGGTTTGTAACAATGTCGCCAGCCAAGCGCAGAGGAGGTCACGGTGACCCCCATCCTGGAGGGCCTAAAACACCAACAACACCCAAACTCTTCGTAATCTCTTACGCCATTCTGCAGGAGGCACGGTGAACAACACTTGTCTCGGTAGACGGTGTTCTGGCTTGCGCAGAACATGGCCGGGTCACCTGATGGTGCTGGACGTTTTCCCCGATTGAAGTACCTGCCGCACAATCAAATACTTGTTTTCTAACTACTTCTTTCAGTATTAGTTGACGCCATCCGACACCAGTAACGCTTCCGTGGTATCGGTAGTCAAGAGCCTGTAGAGGCCATGTCCCGCAACCATACAACAATACAGCCTCGTCAACGCAACTATTGAGGCTCAGTGATACACCTTTTTGACACCACAAGTGCAGCAAATTAGCAAAAGTGATTCGGACTTTTGAGGTGCGTGCAGAGACTTTATCACACTTCCATCAGAGCTAAAACGACTGCCGAGGTATGTAATATTTTACACACATTCCAGTGATTCTCCTTGGTTTTTAAGTGGAATATTCAGACTGCACGTTCTAAAGCAGGACTTTTCAATCTGAAGGTTCAAGTCGCATTCAACAGGGCCTGTGTTTCACCTTTTTCCTCAAGCATGAAGACCATACAGTCTGCGTACTCCAGATAAACAAGATTCTTACCAGCAACGATCTGGAAAACCGACGTTTTGAGGACGTTTTAGGATTCACATCAGTATTTCATCGAAAACGAAGCTGAATAAGGAAGGGTGGACATGTTTGTACGACACCACTTTTTGTGAAGAAGCCTGTGGAGCGCTCACCGTACAGTCCCCCAAGCCTTGAAGTACGTGAATATAGGGAATAACTTGATAAGATCGACAGAACCGAACACACCCTTGAAGTCAAGGAACACCAGGATCATGGTCGCCTATAAATATGATTTTGCTGCACTACCTGACGGAGTGCGAATCAACCTCCATTTCGACATCACAATTGATGCCCAAGGATCAAGGTTTCGCACGCCACCGTAAGAAGACAAGAAGCAGTGACGCCAGAAGCCTTGATATAAAAGGAGTCAAACTAACGTCTCTATGGTTAATAAATCCACTGCGCTCAGTGGTGTAAGATAAGGCTACCCTACCACGCATTTCCTCTGTAACTCTGATATTGATGTGCTGCTTGAAATTTCTCTGCCTGCCTCTGAAACCTCGGGGTTCGAAATGCTCCAGGGACGTTCACTCACAAACATTGAGTATGCGGACGATTGCGCTGTCCTTGGTTCAGACCTTTCAGAAATTCAAACCACCTTAAATAACCTCAATCAACCTGACTAAAAGTTCGATATGAGCTTGACACCTGCGAAGTGTAAAATGCTGTTGCAAGACTGGGTAGGACCGAAGCCAAACCTCATGCTTGCAGATTAGGCAATCGACGTGGTAGATAGATTTGTTTACCTGATCAGTTGTGAAACCTTTAACGGACTGATTAGAGATGAGATTAATTCTCGAATCCGGAAGGCCAGGGCAGCTTTTGCCAACTTTCGATACTTATGGCGCTGACGTGACGTCAGTTTATCTGCCGAGAGCAGAGTTTACATAGCAGCTGTGCGATCCATACTGCTCTATGGATAAGAAGCGTGACCTCTAAGCGCAGAGGACATACGTCAGTGTTTGTCCATCGCTGTCCTCAAAATACCGGCCGGGTCTGGTGGGAAAATAGGATTAGCAATCCCGAGGTACATCAGGTGGTTTTTGGGAAAGGGAACTCTCCCATGATAGATGAATTACTCGCGCTTCATAGGTTACACCGGATGATCTGGAGCCTGAAGAATGGCGGAGAACACTGGTGGATTGCGAAAGCCAAGGAGATGGAGAAGGGTTTCGCTATGACAGTCACTCTCTGTTTCACGATTCGACTGATCAGTCAAGGAGAGAGTTGTCGGTGAAACCATGTGAAAAATGCGGAGCACTAATTCATTCGTGAGTGGTGGACTGAATTCCAAAGAGCACTCCAATCAGCGTACTTAAGCACAACTTCTGGAAGAACCCAGTGAAGTCGAATGAAACATCGACATCAGCTCGTCATCGACAATAGCAGCAAAGCGCGAAATGTCATTCCTCCAATGTGAAAGGGCACCCGGTTTGAATGGTCTTCATCGCGCACTTTTTGAAGAAGGTGGCAAAGCCCTGGTGAGCAGTTTGAGTTGGAACATAAACAGTACCAACGGAGTGGAATACCTTGACCGTTATCTCGGTCCTCAAAAGGTCACAAAAACTACTTACGAAAATCACCTTGTCAGCCAATGTGAGATCTGGCATCGTTTTACGCGGATCGGTCGGTTATCCGGAGAGATAAACTTGCGAGAATCATACTGGGTTTCACCCCGACCAGGGATGCATTGACCATTTCTTAATTTCGAGTCAAGTTCTTGGACGCATCCCTCTTTCAAACGTTCTTGAATGTTTTTCTTGATCTGAAAGTCGTTTTTGAATCTATCGATCGTCAGGAACTTCGGCGATCAGGGGTATTTTTATCGCTCATGAGGACTCTCTGATTGAGCGGTTGGAGGTGTAGGCACCTCAGTATGCTTGACATAGGCCAGCATTAGGTCCCCTCTCTCTCCCACTCTTTTTCTCTTCTCTTCACTGTAGGGCTTTTAATACAATTATATATATATATATATAACTAGACGAACCTTGTGGTTGAACGGCAGTGAAGCATCAGTGCCAACACTGATGTTGCTGTCTTTGATGATGATGGTGATGATCATGAGGACACTATGCGAGCTCGTATCGGGTATACAGCAAACGTTCGTCTGAATTCAGCACGTCCAGTGGTGAAAAACAAGGCCGTCCTCTCTCACTAATCTTCTTCAACTTTATTTTCGGCGTGCCATCTGTAACTCCTCTATGTGCTTATGAAACCTCGGAAATCGAAATACCCCCGGGGCATTCGCTCACAAACTTTGACTATGCGGACCATATTGCTCTACTTGGTTCAAGTCCTTCAAAGGTAAAAGTCATTTGGGAAAACCTAAATAATTCTGCCGAACGGTTTGGCATGCGCTTCACATCTACAAAGCCTAAAGTGCAGCTACAAGACTGGGTAGGATCAAACCCACACTTCTTGTTTGCAGAGCAGCCAAAAAACGTGGTGGATAAATTTGCTTAGTTAAACAGTTGTATAAGTTCCGGCAGACTGACTGGAGACGCGATTACTTTTCGGAGCACGAAAGCCAGGTATATTTTGTCAACTTCCCACACTTATTGCGCTGGCATGGTATAACCTTGTCTGTCAAGAGCAGAATGAACACTATAGCCGTGCGATGCATACTGCTTCGTCTGTCGCGAAGGGGGATGTTCGAGAGTTGTCGGTGTTCGACCATCCGTATCTCCGAAGGATTGTCCGAGCCTTGCGGGGACATCGGATTAGCACTGTCGAGGTACGCCAGTTGATTTCAAGATAGCTCAGTGAACCTACTGACCAGAAGGTCCATAGTTCGAACCCAACCTCTGGATCTAGACTGCTCCTGTCCAGGTTTGGGGAACCTAGCATTATCTCATCCCTTGTGCTTCCTCCGGGTAGCGTGACAGCTAGGCACTGAAGGAGTGTTATTGCTGAACGGTTATTATATTTATATGGCAATTGGCTTTATGGAGAAGGAACTCTCACACAATGGATGAGCTACTTGGTCCTCGTAAACAGCGCTGGTTAGGACGTGCACTTTGCATCTCAAAGAAGCGTCAGCCTCGCAAACCCTTTTCGTCCACTGCTATCAAGTGGACAGGCTGACATTCTATGACCTAGCAATAAAGAAGTAAAGCACCAACCGGTAAATCTGGTCAGGTGAATAACTACCGGCTTCCTGCATGAGGACTCTAGGACTCAAATCACAAATGGTAAATAACAGCGTTAGAAATAACACATTAGCGTGGTGAGTGGCGCCCGTGCAGCAGAACTATTCCCTTCAATGCGTAGGTACCCAAAGTTCCTGAACTAACCTAACCTACCATCGCCTCCCAAGCTCTCCCACTTTCCGGTGATAGAACCAATAGTATCTAGAATCAATGTATCCATGTTACATGGCTTATAGCTGATAAACTTAACTGAATCTAAATTCACTGCAAATCCCGTCTTTAGAAATGGGCACTACTAAGGAGTCATCTCAGTTGTCTGGAATGGTTTCTTTTCCTCAGATAGACGCGAATAGGAGAGATCGGTAATGGCCGAGGAACTAGCCGTTATTTGTGAACAAGGTAGGTGGAAGTTTTTCACGACCAGGAAAATTATGATGCTTGAGTAGAGATATCCGCTCGGAGAAACCTGACGTTGAAAGCAGCTCTCTATTCACAGTCCACTTTTCTGTTGAAGGCTGACATTTCGGATTGAAGGTGGTAGGTGGCCAACTTGATTTTTGTTCGAATCATTGTGCCCAACGGTTCAAATGTTCTTCTTTGTTAAGTGTCAGATAGCCATTTTGATCCATAGTAATTTCGCTGACAACAGGCTTCCGAGGACCAGTCAACAGAATCAAGTGAACTAGCTTACAGACGTTTCCAGCATTTGCATCTTCCGTTTCTCTGACCTTTCGGATCCACTAAGCTTCACGGACTGTACGGGCAGTCGGTTTTACCTGGCGTCGGATGATTCGTAGGGTGGATTTGTGTTTGTTGCCACGGGTAATCTGTCTCTTCAGCAAAGACACGGTCCTATCAGAGATCCAATGTTTGGATGAGGTTGGCTACGCTTTACTGCAAACAGAGGTTCTAGCTTTGAGTAGCGCTTCAGATATCTTTTCTTAGTGGCCGTTTATATCCAACATCGGAGCGTCCGATAGGCGTTCGAGGTGCTAGTTCTGGTAGGTTCGTTCGATTTCCGATTTCATTAGCCTCGCAATGGCTAAGCGGTTTGCGAGTTTTGTGTAGGCCTGAAAAGCGCAACGAAATGTAGCGACGGACACGTGCATGGTCGGAGTGCACGCTGGTGTTCCAGAAGAAGGCAGTAATAGACCCTCGCCACCGATAAGTGACGGCAATGTGATCTATTTGGGTTGAGAGCTGGTTCGTTAGTGAACAGAAGATTTTCAAGTGATTTCCGCTGTTCCGGAAATTGTGCCCTTATAGTAAAGGCCTGTGATGGGCATACATCTGAAGCAAGTGATCTCCGCTGTCCGCGCCTCGTGTTCAAATCAAGAGGACCACCCAAACGGGCCACCTACACTTGCGTTTATGTTACCACAAACTACAGCTATATCTGAGCTTTATGGTTGTACGGCAGTGAAGCATCAGTGCCATCACTGATGTTGCTGTCTTTGATGATGATGATAATGCTGATGATGATAGTTGAGCTTTTAGCCCGGTATGAAAGAGCAATCAGGACGTCATATAAACTGTCTTTCGCAAATTTAAAGCTACAGTCCATCAGGACGTAAGCAGACACAATAAGTTGTGCGATGGACCTAACATTCCACAGATTCCCTCACAGATGTTGTCAAATGAACCATGCAGAGGCGGCTATCAACGGGTACCCAATCAAGTAAACACGCTCGCTCTGCAGCGGCCGCCGCATCACCAGAGGTATGCACCCATAATCTGGAAGAGATCGGTGGAACAGTCAGGGGAATTACAGTACTTGCGTCCTGTTTCGTCGTTTCTGACAGAAAGCGTACAGAAATGCAGAGCAGATCTAGCGTCGTGGAAGAGCCATCTGTTGTCCCACTAAATCCGGTGTGCGAATAGTGAGGCAGTTAAATAGACCCGCCTTCAGGGTTTCACTTCTATGTGTTCAGAGTTGTTAGTGAAGTAGGTTGTGCAGAAGCTGCAACTGAGTGTGATGCTGGACGAACAAAGTGGTCGGTTTTGGTGCTGGGAGCTGCGGAGGTAGTATTCAGATTGGGGTGGGACAGGGTATAAAAAAGGGAATACGTGAAACTGTAAGAAGCGTTAGCAGTAGCATCTTTTCGCCTACCCGCCCCGCTGTACGCAGTATGGCTAGCGAGAACGGGGGAGCAACATTTTTTGAAGCTCTGAATGACGAAACTCTATTAAATTTTGCTTGTCCAAGCGACGTGTACGTTTCTTACACACACATGCAATACCCAATAACGCATGTCCTGATGTGATACTCAGCGACCGAAAAACGGCTAACAAACTTGACTGCATTCTACTCAGGAGCAGGAGCTGGCGACAGAAGTCGGACCATATGCAGTTTAAGATCGTAAATCCACATGAGTACACACCCCAAGCGTATCCACGTTCGCTTGCTCGACCATAATAACGCCGTAATGAACTAGGCAATGAGATTGGCTACGAACTGATGAGTGGTTCAACCGGTTGGAACGTCCGGCCCGAACTTATCATAAATGGATATACTTTACGGAGAACGCGGAAAATGCTATCACGGCTGTGGATCCTGGACACTGACTGGACACTGGACCGTCTGAGATTCAGAGCTCCAGACGCCTCCTGGATGCTCCATAGGTAACCGGCATTCGGCCCACATTGGGTCATGATTGGCTGCTGAGATAATACTTTCGGCCAATCAGAACTCGAGTTGATGCCGGACCGCCAAGCGGCTCACGGATTCACGGATTCACGGATTGATACACAGGATCGAGGCTTTTGCCCAAGTTTCACGGGTCGGTTTTGTTCTTGTCGGTCAGTGGCTGTCGTTCACCTGAAAGGCACAAGTGAAAAAAGGGTGTAGCACTGCTCTTTATGTTCTCAGCGCGGGGCAGTACGCTTGCGAGCGCGAGGATTCGCATAAATAAACGTCTAATAGTGCTTTAAACTGGTTTCTGGAAGGAGCGTGGACAACCGTCTTGTAGCGGTAACCTCCTTTTTCCCTCAAGCGGCTTCGCTTAATACGTGTGGTTCATCCTTGCTCATTAGATCATGCGAACCTCTGTTCCGCAGACACTCAACTCACGTGACCAAACCCTGTCACGCTTGGAACCCAGGCCGAAAACAGGTCGTTTTCCATCTTTAACGCGCACAGACGTCAAAATTTCCTATACACAGTATAATATAATATACTATAATATAATATAACATAATATAATG